CACCAGGACACCCAGGTCCTTTTCTGCTGACCTGCTTTCCAGTAGGTCAACCCCCAACCTGTCTTGCTGCCTGGGGTTGTTCCTCCCCAGGTGCAGGACCCTGCACTTGCCTTTGTGGAACTTCAGGAGGTTCCTCTCCGCCCACCTCTCCAGCCTATCCAGCTCCCTCTGAATGGCAGCACAGCCTTCTGGTGTGTCAGCCACTCCTCCCAGTTTTGTATCATCAGCAAACTTGCTGAGGGTGCACTCTGTCCCTTCATGCAGGTCCTAAGTCTTGTGGACTGACTTGAGGACCGCCGGAATTGGGAAGAACTGAGGACTGATATACTCTGCGTTCACCTGGCTCACACCTAAGGATGGTAGGTGATACATCTTTCAGTGGCAACACCAGCTAAAAGAGAGCCCATCCCAACCCTACTGCCCACCCCAGCCTCAGAGCCCTGCTCTACCCTGTCCCAGAACGTAAGCTCATGCTGTGACTTGCAACTGGCTGAGGGAGCTCCCCTGGCTTGGAAAAACTCAGCAAAGCAAGTAAATCCTGCCATGGTTGAGCCAGCACTGCCTCCAGGGGTGGACGTGGCACAGGGCAGGAACAGATAGTGGGAAGCAGGAGAGGGAGCTCCCTGAACTGACATTGCCACTCGGAGAAACGCCTGTCATACCTTTGCCTTGGGCCACATTTTCAAGCTCTTCTAAATGGCTTAGGAGCGCAAATCCCATTGCTATCAGCAGAGAATATTTTCCTTGAGGCCCAAGCTCCTGCATCACTGAGAAGTATCTGAAATATCTCATTTCAGAAAAATTTACAACAATGAGAACTTACTTTGTCTTTTACAAGAGCAAAGACTCTATAGACACCTTTCACAAGCCCTAAAACTTCATAAAGGGCACTGAAGAGGAATATTTTTGGATGTAGACCTCCAGCAAAAGACAAGCCTCATCCAGATGCTCCCACCAACTCTGGCTGACTTTGGATTGGATCCACATTTGAAAAGCAGGCAAAATACGCTCAGTGTTCTTCACAGTATAAAGGATTGCAGCAAGACTGTTTTCTATTTATAAAAAGCTAGGTTATAACAAAGGGACGTTGAAATGGCCAAGGCCTTACTTTCCCCTTCTCCAAACATTCAGGGGAAAAGTCAAAGAAACTGCTCTCGCAGACACAGATACATTACCCTCTCAGCAAACACACCCACAAATTTGTTTCCTCAGCATAAAACTAAAACAAGCAGAGAAATATTTTTCCTCTACTGTTTGCTTTCTGTTTATGCTCTGTTGCTACCTTTGTGCCTTCAGGAACACCAATGTCCCTTGAGCCGTAGAACCCACTTGTTTTCCATCTGCTGCCTAGCCTTTTCAAACCTCAGAGGGCTATGCCAGACTAGCTCTCCGTCTGCAGCTGGCAGAGTCATGGGATTTCTCAGAGGTGGGATGAACAGGCAGAACGTCGGGAACAGAAATAGGGGCTCCCATCCGGGACGGGGATTTGGACTGGGATGGGACATACCACCTCAATTGTGCTTTCAGCAGACATGTGAGGAACTGGAGCTTTAAGTTTCCCATTTCTGAGTTGTTTATCGTTATTACCACTATTATCTCTATTATTATCTTCATTTCTCCATTGACTGCTCATGGAAAGCAAAATACTGATAGGTCACCAGTAGATTCGAATTCATTTTTGAAGGTGAGCAAATTGCTGCAGGGATTTATTCACCCAATTCCAAGCAGAAAAAAAGTACAAGCAGCCTATATAAAAAAAAAAAATCCTTAAATGCACACACTCACAGCTAACCAAGGCAACCTCACAGTCATTCAAACCTTAATCTTGTTTCCTCATTGCTGGTAGCATCACTTTTTGTGTTGAAAATAACAACCTCCTCTTCTGAGTAAAGACCAAGGACTATAGATTTTCACATTCTGGGCACTATAAGAACCATAAATAAAAAATTATTACATGAATCTCACTTCACTAGGTCTGACTTTCCCAAACTTGTATAATGTGTGAAATCTTTTATTGCTTAGAGACCTGTTAAATAGGCAGCCACAAAAGCCCATTGCATCTCATTGTTTGAAGCCTGAACCTCAACATCATTTCTTTCTAAGCTAGTTTTTGGGTACATGTAGAAATCAAACTCTTGTAAAATCTTTTTAATTTCCTGCTCTGGTTCTTTGGGCCCATAGACCGGGCCTATAAGATATTTCACTTCTTTTTTTCCACGTTACTGGTAAACTCCTTCAGTTTCAGCCACGATGCCCATAAACAAAATTCATGTCAGACAAGCCAAAGGTTCCAAGACAGACAGTTATTAGCTCAAAGCTGGAGTGTTTCATTTTAGACTTCATCCCCATTTAAACCATGAAAACCTCAGTAAGTATTGAATTTAAATCCACTTCTTACTGCCGCTTTCTCCAGGCCTTTGTCAAAGGACTCATTATTAGTTTCTTTTTTACAGTACTGCCTAGCTCCCTATGCTGAGAGGGGGCCAAGTTATATCAGCTATAACTGTGTGTTCACACCGAGCAAGAAACTGTCTCCATCCTGAAGAGCTCAGAATCCCAGACAGACCAGACAAAAGAAAAGAAGCACAAAGAAAGAGAGGAGCTAAGTTTCCTGCAGGTGTCACACCACAGATCAGCGGGTTCAAGAAGAAAATTCAAGATTCCTGAGCCTTAATCCAGGGCTTTACCCACCAGATCAGTAACATCATACTTTTTTTTTTAAATACAACAAAATAATGTATATAAAATAACCACAATAAGTTAGCTTTTTACATATGAACAGGTACACTGACAGTTGTAAGAGCACCCATCAACCGATGCTGCTTGGGTTCTGCCCTTCTCACAAAACCTCGCAGGCCTCTGATCTGTTTGAACTCTCTCCTTTCTCAAAGTGCCTAACGGCCCCTAACTGGATGGCTCTTACAACAGAAAGAAGAGTTCACTGCAGAATGTTTTCTGTGGGAGGGAGGTAAACCTATCTATACAATGCTAAAAGCACCTTTATCATTTCTAGTTCCTGTTGGTCCTGGTGCCCTGTTTCTGCACGTGAAAAAGGAGAGCAGCTGCAGTTTGTCTCTAGGCAGGAGTCCCCATTAACCCTTGCGCTCTGGGGCCCGTAGGACTGAGGCAGCTTCCAGGAACAGGCCATTGTGTAGACAAGCCTGAGCTGTAACTGTCCAGTCAGATTTGCACTATGTATAAAACCCTGGTTGCCTATCAAGTCCTGGGCTACTACAAGCCCTCAGCATTGGCAACACAGGTGTTTTGCACGCCAAGCTGCCACAAGCTTGTCAAAGTAGATTTAAATGCTTTGTTTGTTCTTTTTTTTTTCACTGAGCAGTGCCCAGAAGCATTATATGACATTGGCTAGACCAGCTTTCCCTGAGAAATGTTGCAGGGAAAGGCTGCTCTCTGCCTCAGCCCTGAGGCAGAGTGCAGAGTGCCCCCACAGTCAAGAGATCAAGGGCTCTGCGTACTTTGCCAACCAGGACACCTCAGAGGAGTGACTGGGAACTCCAAAGTGGAGCAGCGGTTGGCAGTGCCACAGTACAGCCCTCATTTTCTCCAAACCATTTCTGTGCTTTTCCACTCAAATAACTGTGCCGTTTGAAGGAACACAGAACTGTGCCATTCTGAGTTGTTCTGAGTTAGAGTCAGACTTGTGGGTGCCACTAATTTTGCTAAATGAACAGTAAAATAGAAACAGGCAGAACGATGTAATTAAGCATGCTGTAGAAAGACAGCCAGAAGGAACACATCAGTAATGTTTTCAAAAGTCACCTGCGCCAGCGTCCCCGGGAGTGACTCACATATCTTCTAAAGCCCTGTAGAAACCCTCAACTAGCTGCACAATTCTCACAGGAGGTTCATGTGAAATTAAGTCATCCGAAATGGTCAATCAAACTAAGGGTTACTGACAGGGGAAAGGATCAAATAAAATGTTCCTGTTGCTCTAGACAACTAGAAAGACTGCTAAGGAAGTCATTTTATAGCCTGAAAAAGGTCCACAGCTTTAAGAAATTCTCCCTTAAAGGTTGTAAAGCTTTTACTATGCAAAGTATTTTTGCTCTTATATACACTGGCGGCCACTAAGTGCAGCTATTATTTCTGGCCATCATTCAGAGAAGGATGGGGCTGATAGAGAGTTTAACAGAGTTTGTTTGGGTCAATCCATCTGTGTTTTTAACCACCCATACAGTCTTTTCGGTCCTTTTAAAAGATGCTGGATGTTTCCTGAGTCCAATACATTAAGGTCTATATTTTTATTTGCCATCTTTTATTATTTATCATGCCACAGCAAAGAATGTCATCTTTAAAATGTCCACACACTTCTGTATCGATTACACAGGCGTCCAAAAAAGGGCTGATTCAGAGCTGCAGGGCAGGGATGCAGCCTACACCGACTGAGCTCCCATCTCCTGGATGAAGGCCATGCAGAGCTGCAACCTGCTGTGCTCCCTGCCTACACCTCGGGAGGGCATGTGCCTCTGAGGAGGCAGGGAGGAGAGAGCAGTCACAGAGCAGGGAAGTATGCTGAAGGAATCCAATATGGATCTTCAGAAAGGAAATGCTTTCAGGTCATGTGAGCACCAGGAAAAATATCCTGACTGGCTGGGAAGGAGCATACTGGCATTCTCAATACTCACACTGCATGGGTTTGGTAACTGCAGGATTTCAAGCCTAGCCCTACTGCTGAATCTCTATACTGCATGGAGCAAATCCGGGTGCAACTTCCAGCACCCCACTTCCCTGCTGGGCTGCAAGGAACCAACAGCCACAAGGGGGAACACCTCAGTGACAATCTCTGCTACTGTTCAAGAGAGCTCTGTTCCAAAACAGAAATGAAATACTGCTAGGACTATATTGCTTCCAAACACCGTGCAAGCATTAGCTTAATATGTTGTCTACAAGTACTGGCCTCCCCATTTTACAAACGGAAATAAGACAGGACATGTGACTTGTAGCTAGTGACAGCTGGAGAATATGTTACCCACCTGATGCAAATAACTGCCGCTGATATAAAAATGATTAAAATCCTGCAGTGAGTGCATTCTCACATCCACCATCCTTGTAGCCATTTCCTACAGCCTTTTGTTTCAGGAGACAGTACTGCCCTGAACAACATGTTGTGGTTCAGGTCTCTTTGCCACTCACCTGAGCTTATCTGCTACAAAAATCACACGTCGCTCCAACAGGAGAGAAGCGAAGATCCTGATGATCTGCCGTACACTGAGACACTTGAAAAGGCATTCAAAGTCCACATGTTCCAGGCGCGAGTCCATGGGCCGCCGGAGCTCAATCACCTGCACACATTCAACAACAGCCAGTCAGCTTCCCCAGTCAGGCTGCAGTGCGCCAGGGACGCCTGGCACCCCGGCCCCTGCCCTCCAGCTCTGCTCCCCTCTCACTTGGGGAGGGGACATGGAGAACCACCCCAGCCTCTTTTGGAAACTGAGGCTGGAGTCACAGCACTCCAGAGAACAGTGTATTACACAATTCACTATCAAATCATTCTTTTTCTCAGAATATAATTATGTACATTAAATCTGCCATCATTTCCTAGGAAGGCATAATTCTGACTTCTCACTACCCTGTCAGTAATGTACAGCTTGGCTGAGGCAACAGTACGAAGCAAGGAACAAACTGTAAACGCTGGGACTGGAAACCTACAGGTTAAAAGGGGAGGGTACGCTCTTCACTGGCTAAACTGTTAGTGTGTTTAAACAGCCATGAAGGCAACCTAAATGTGGTATTAACTTGGCTCGTGATTCAAATTAACACCTAGAAGGGAGTCAGGGACTAAACTTAAATGCTGAGCAAAATTAAAACCCAATTTACCTCATTTTCACTGCTTTATTAAGCATAATTCACCGTCTAATGTTTAAAGCCTTTTTTGTCATATAGATATATACATATATATATACTTAACTGGGGAGTCAGGACAAGGTCTTAGATGGTGACTTCTGACATCCCTTTAAAGTCTAATTTTCACACTTCATCCATGACCTCAGGCCCTCTCCTTCCTTTTCTCAAATGCCTCTCGCTTGATTCCTTTATTATATCTTCCTTTTACTCTGCAATTGACATGCTCAGATGTGGAACTTGAAGACAGAGGACAGGAAAAAGAAAAGAGGGAAAAATAACATGAAGAGAATAACAGGAAGAAAAATATGAAGTGCAAGACAGCAAATGATGAACTACTGAGGAATACGAGGAAATAGAGGGGAAAGGGGAAAAGTTGGCCAATTTAAAGTTGTGTTGAAATCTCTGAAGACATTAACAGTTACATATATACATCTTCTTCTTTCCATATGTCCAAAAATCACCGTCACTTTCTTGCTTTAAACCACTTCTACATTTTCATGCAAATGACACCACATTCCACTAGCATACTATATGCCATACTACAACATGCCATACTACACAAACAGCCCTCACAAACACAGTTAAATTGTAGTACTGTTTTGTGATCAGTGACACAGAACTGTAAAAAGAAAGTCACTGTTTGAACAATAGCTATATATAGATTTGCTTTTTTAAAGCCTGAAATACATGAACATTATTGTATCAGAGCATTTTATACTCATCACCCTGCTGTTGCTCCAATCAGCAGTAAGAATCAAATTATGGAACGATGGCGATCCATTAATATACCTCCGGGAAATGCAGCCTGCCCTCTCTCACATTCAGTAGAGGTGCCCACTTCCCTTCCTCAGCAGCGCGACTGGAAGCTTAAATTATATTTATGTGCCAAACCATAAGGAGCTAGTTCTGCTGCAAGATTTCCAACGCTGAAATCTTGCTGTGGGGAAGGATGCTTTGCAAGTTAGAGCAGCTTTTACAAATGCCATAGATGTTTTCTGTTGCTTGGCAAAGCTTTCTGCTTCAGTTTGCTCTTAACAAAGAAATATACTGTCTGCTTCCCAATTAATCATCATCTTTGTTTAGGCCAGAGGAGCCACAATGGAAGGACAAGATTCTGTTCCTAATTAAGCCAGTGCATTCCATTTAAATAACGAGTTTGTACTAGCATAACAGAGAGCAAAGTTGAGCCAAAGTAGGGTTGTTTGTTTGTTTGGAATTATCTCAATATTTTTCTCTGGGAGAGTTCAGAAGCTTGAGCTGAGGACAGAGAAGTTGCAGATCCATGGTTCCCAGACAGAGTCACATCAAAAAAGCATCATCAGATCTTTCAACCGTTACTCATTTCAGTCCCTTAATCTTCCTTTGCTTCTCCAGAAGAAAATGCATGTAATCTAAACATGCCTCGCAAGTTACTTTAACAAGGGAACCTTTACGTTTCATCCCAAGTGCCATTATAGGCTCAGTTCCTTGAAGTCAGTGGCATTACGCTTGCAGAAGACATGTTTCAATGTAAAAAGCAGTAAAATGACTGTAAAACTGAAAAGATGTTTTTTTCCTGGTTAGACTAACTGGGCCAAATTCTATTCCCACTTGCAGTGATGTAATTCCTCTATAGGTTTGCCCATCTGAGTGGAGTTACCATGTATTTCTGGCAGGATTCGCAGAGATCAGAATTTGACGCGCCAAATGGCTAGTAACCCTCAAATCACAAAAAACTTTTAAAGTAAGGTACCAGTGTTGCCATTTTCCAGTGAGGCATTTGTTCTGCAATGCAAGGCTTCTAGCTACTTGAGTCAGTAATAAAATGAAATTAAATCTATTATACGTGTGCACATACACACAAAAAGCTTTTATATGATCTACTTTTCCAAATGTAAATTACGGCTTGGAGGGCCAGGTACAGGTCATGCATTGCAGAAAACAGCCATTTAAAAATGCTGCTGATCACTCCTTACACCAATGACATGACCAGCAGTAACCAGGCTTGCAGCAATAGCTATTTGCTTGACTGTTCAAGCACGGTCAGCACGGGAAACCGAGACTTATGCTAGCTTTTACCACTGTGATAACTAGTGTGTTCTTACTAGTACAGACTTAGCAGTTCTTACTTGTAGTTCTGTTACCTCATTTCCAGCTCCAGGCAGGAAGGTTTTGACTTTGATTGTCTTTCCAGGTGCAGGAAAAGGAGATTCCATCAGACTCCTCATAAATGGATAAACCAAGGCAGCAGATATACCCCTTCTCCTTTCAACCTCATCCAGGATCTGATCCATTAGTCAGATAAGAGAGAGAGAACATGTCAGCACAGTGTACACTTCTGAAGCACCCTCTGTCCCATGTGTGCCTGAGTGCATGGCAGACCTAAGTTTAATTCTCCTCTGCCATGCACTCCTTCACTACCATTGCAGCCACAAGATTTGACCCTGCTCTGACAACGATCCATTTTTCATTTAGAAAGTGAAGCCCTTTCTGGAATGCAGCTGAACAGAGAGACGAGGAAGAAATAACAAATTTGGAAAGGAGAGAGAAGACCCAGCATGGTAAAAAGAAATCAGCAGTGTTGGAATATGGCCTGAACAACAGAGTCAGCTGGAGAAGAGAAAGATCAAGACAAATCCCATGATCACAGGCTACGTGAGTGTTGGGTCCCAGACACAGATCTGAGATTTGCATTACGGAGAAACACTTTTTTCCATGCTGGGCGTCTCCAGACTTAAAAACGTCAAAGCTGGATGACAAAGCCGTATCAACAAAGCTGCACCTCTTTCCTTTTCATTGAGAGGGCAGGAAAAAGCCAGACCAGCAGGAAGAACAACTCTGCCACACTCTGCTTTTGGCTCTACTAGGAAAGAGCTCCTGGAGGAGATCTGCCCATGGCCACAGCAGTCACTTTGGAGTCTCCGTGCTGAACTGGAGCCAATCATGAGCAGGCTCTTGAAGCGTGCCCAGTTGTTTACACTGGATGCCTGCATTAAGGGCATTTTCTGTTTGACATGACGCAGAGCAGGCAAGCTAGCTTTAAAATGAGCAGATGGAACTTCTTACAGATAGAAAGAAATTTTTTTCCATCTCTCTTTGGTCATATGGGCCAACATAAATTAGATCACAGCTAAGTTTTCCCACATTAGACAGACCATATAGATGATAAACCTAAAGAAGAAGAAAAAGCAGGCTTCAAAGCAGTTAGTGGTTTGACCTGAAAGAGTGATCTTTTAACCACCACTCAAGAGCAAAAGGCCATACGAGAGTTAGTGGGTCTGAGCCAGGCATTTTCCCTTGTTTCTCTTGGAATTGCTTTTCATTGAAACAATATTAAAAGCTTCTTAAGCACAAGCTGGTGAGTTACAACAAAAGCTAATGACACCAAATGCCAACAGAGGCATTCACTGGTGCACAGCTTCCCTTTTCTCTTTGCAAAATAGTAAAGGCCTAACTCTAAAACATACCTGAGCATATGCACATAGTTGCATTCCAGTTAGTGGAAATGGCAGATGACATGAATATATGGATTTCATTCTTAACGTAACTTGCAGAGCAACAATCATTCTCATCAAACAAAATCAGCTGTCCTAATGACAAGTAGTTAGTTACCAAGGCTGCGCCCTAGGTTCCTCAGTACTCCTGTAGGCCGCCAGCCTGCCACTGTAACACTCCCAACACGTGTCTCCCTTGTAGTCGCTAGGTGACACTTTACGTTGCTGGAACTGGTGGCTACGTATAAAAGACATCAGTCCCTTGTGCTTCAGTTTGGATACGTTCAATTAAAAGGTCTCTGTGGAAGGTAGCGTATCACCTTATGTGTGTGTCATATCATGTGTGAGGACTAACGAACCTCACAATATCAATAAAGAGTATTTAAAGTGAACAAAAGTTGAACGGAGAGATTTCAGAAGATAAAACGGACAAAAACATCTATTGAGACTATGCCCAGATGAACTGGCAGGATCTGGAAGTAAGAGTGTCTATGGTTCTCAAGTCTGTTTTAGCAGTAGGTATTACAACAGTGAACATAAAAGGATTTGAGAAACATGAAAATAATGCAGGATATTAAATACAGGACGATAAACATTTTAAAACAAAGGACTCTTTTTGTTTCTCTGATAAATAATATCCAAGGTTTAATATTGCATGGTCTTTCATCATTCACATTTTTCTGTAAAGACAATTGCTCCTTGTTTGTCTAGTTCAGCAAAGTGCACCATCGTGATCACTTTCCTCTCTTTCACGAGATTTATCAATTAGGACAGCCCAGGTTCCTCTTACTAGACTGGGAAGAGACTGTTTCACTTCTTAAGAACTTCTCTGCACCCACACTGTATCTGTCTTCAAAGCCCACAGATATGCTAAGGCTCTCCTCTTTCTCTAACAGCTGCAGCTGTTTTATCCAAACCCTTTACAACTGTAGTGCTTGCAGCACGTGCTTAAGAAATATGCTATGTCAAGCCTACAGCAGGGATCAGCCCCACGCACTGCCGAACACCCGGCTCTCCCCTGATGCCAGTACCTTCGGGAGCTGCCTAGCACTTTGCAGGACTTTGTCTCTAAACTCCAGTGTGGATGGGTATTTTTGTGGCCCAGCCCCTCAGTGATCCCACAGTCAGAAGAGCATAGGCATGTGACACCTCCGTTCAGGGCCCGATATATAAATTCAGTGGGAGCCTTCCTGTCTGCACCACGATGAAGAGCTTCAGGCCTGAGCAGACCCTGCCATGTCACGAGGTCCTGTCTACTGTGTCTTCCTCCTCCGACACCTGGACACAGCCCCTGCTGAAGCCAGTGAAATTACACTGATCAGTCAGCTGCTGATTCAGGTTGACTGGATGATCAGACACTTTCATTCAGATTAGGAATTAACTGGGAAAGCAGATTATTTGCAATTTTGGCCTGTCTCTGTTCTTTCTTGGCATCATCTTTGTTGTCTGCTGCAGACTTTATACCCCAGCTACTTATAACCAGCTGGTTATAAGCAGGATACTTAAATTTCCAATTTTTACATTTTCTGCTTTATTTTTTCCCTCTCTCAAATTTTCCTTGGGAAATAAGGGCACCAGCAAAATTAGATAAAACATCAAGGCAAATGAACAGCCTCAGGACTTCTCCCCGTATCATCAGCTTCCAAGATCATCATTTTCGTGAGCTATGTTATCCTGCCCAGAACAATGCATTCTGTTTCACTCAGCGGTACCTGTGTTTAGATACATATTATGTCTAAGAGTCACTGTTATAAACCCTTGGTTTCAGAGCTTTATGAAAGACGTCAGAAGCAGAACTGCAATTAACTATTTCAGCCTAACTGTCGAAGACAAGATTTGCGTTAAACAAAGTTTTATCTAGCAAACCTTGAAACTCGCTTTGATGAAAGATATCATTCTGTATGGTTATTAAATCATCAAAATGATATAAATGTCATGATTTACATATTTGTTTCAACTTTATACAAATGAACAAGAAAAGTCTATGTTTAAGTTCTATGACATTTCCTGGTATCTGAAGTGAAAATCTCTGGCGAATTAAAACAACGTTCCTATAAACTATGTACCAAAACTTGAAAAGGGGAAGGCAGCCATTCGAAATCAGACATATCATTGTCCTCCACGGATCACCCACAAATCCTGTATGGTATAGTGAGGTGCTCAGTGGATTTTGCAGAACACTCTCTCAGAGGACTGGAGGCACTAAGCTGGCAGCCAGAGAGAGATTTCAAATGTTAATCAATCAGCAACATTTTTAATAGTTTACCCAATAATCTTTTCTTCTTATAAAAGAATAATGCCTGGGGCTCTGGAACTGACTTGCAGTTAACTGCTTCTGAGACTATTCAATGCCTCAGTTTAGCTGCAATGCCCTGCTTACTGTCTCAGAGCTCCTAGGTCAATAAATTTATTACTTAGGTAAACCACATCAGCATACGATGCAACTCTGGATTCATTAATGTAGAGGACAGTTAAGATGACTGTCCACACTTTCGTAACTTCTTAAGATAAAAAAACATGCCAATGGAGTTAAACATATAGAATTCACTTATCAAGTAATCTTTTTTCTTAACCTCATTATTCCATAGGGTATTGGAATAAAAGTGGTACTGGCCCATCATTCAAATTGTGGATGCCAAGAATTACAGCTCAGCAAGAGTGGCTTTAGAAAACAATGGAAAAAACTCCAGTCAGCCAAATCATACAGACACCCAGATGTTTTTTGCATCAAGTTTTGCCTCAGTTACAGAAGTAACAAGACCTTCTTTGATGAGCCCAATAATAGAGATGGAACTTCCAAAACAGCAACTGTAAAATATGGTTAGCTCCCATCAAAGGAAGAAATTCTCCTTGTTTGGTTCATCATTGTGGATGCTTCTCAGTAAAGAGTCAATTTAAAAAGCAACACTGAAAAAAAATCTTACCTTGGAAAATAAGTCAAAGCACCCCAGCCGGCTGATGACGCAATAAACTTCAGGTAGGCGTGGGCCTTTTCCACTTGGCTGATAAAAATGAAAAGGAGATTGAAATTACTTATTAATTTGGAGCCATAAGGAAATACACTTATCTTTCTGATTAGAAACTTGGCCATAATGTGACATCTTTCACTATCCGTTTCTCCATCAAAATAGTTACTCTTGGAAAAGCATCGTATTTCTTCCATAAGACAGGAAACTAAAAAACATAAATAGTGCTTATCCACTTTGGAAATCACAGTGCTTTGGAGCTGTATTTCAACACTGCTCCAACTTGCAGCCATAAAAGCACATTTAACTACAACTGTAACTCACGCCTCTGCTATCACTGTCCTCTGCTCCTGCTATGGCGTGACGAGTGAGGCCACCCTGGGGCCACGTGCTGGGAGATGAGAACTACAATGCTAAGAGGTTATGGTGGCTTTAGTTCCCCACTCACCCCATGATGTTCAGAGAGAGCTTGTCTTGCAGAAAGCGAGCTTAGCGCTAAACAAAGGCAGGCTGCATGAGCTAAATCATTAACTCCCTCAGATTCATGCATGATAAATATGAAACTTTTAAATAACATAAACAGTGGCAAGTATGAATCAATAATATGCCTTTCCCCCACAAAACTATCAAGACCGCTCTCTGCAACCCTCCTCTGGAAGAGGAGAGAGCGGTAAATGGTTTAAACTAGCAGGGCTGAAGTGTATTGCCTTGGCTTACTAGAATCTGCAATCCTTCCCACAGCACTGCAAGGAAAGGCCTGGCAGAACTGTGTGTGAAAGGGCACAACCCTTGCTGGATTTAGCCTGTTTACTGGAAAAGAAGTAGAATTAGGCCAATATTGAGCACTTCAGAAACCCCATCCTCACTGGCAGGGTCTGCAGAAGGAAGAGCTAGTCTGCCTGTATCCTGCACTTGTACGGGGGTGCATGGACGGCTGCAACATCTTGGGCATGCAGAACCCTGCTTTGTGCAGCTGCAGCTGATTTTCACCAGTTTGGCAGGCACACACTTCCTAGATGGCATTACTTTAACAAGTTTGCCAACTTCAGATGCTGTCAGATGTACTCCCAAGACTTGACACCCACCGCAGGAACCACGCCTGACATGGCACAGAATGGCTCAGGTACACTAGCAAACCCCAGGAGCCAAAGCTCAAAGCAGGGCCTGAGGCACTGGGCAAGGCTCCCTGCTTGCTGGGATCCTGTGGAGTGAGCTGTGCTTGTGCAAAACTGAGCAAAAAGTGTCTGTAAGAGAATCACTTGGTGTCACTTAGCCACTTTGCACAGCTGTACGTTATTGATGTGCAGCAGTGACAGAATCATCCCCATTAATAACAACGCTCTAATAAAGGAGCCCCGAGTCGTTGTTTCCATCTGCTTCTACTCACTTGTACATTTAGCCAAAGTGGCCGATCATCTCCTCCGTATCCACACAGAAGGCTAAAGACCTTTTTGTCTTTATCTGATAATTAGCCTCTGTTGATACTGTGAATAACTTCCCCACAGTGTTTGAGAATTATATGCCCCACAGATGTCAATCAATAATATCTGAGGGGTAGCTGCGCTTTTTAAATCTGAGCATTACAAACCTAGACTTGGACAGCCAGCAGGTGCCTGGGCAGTTATAATAAAGATCACGAAAAAATACCAAGACTAAGTGAATACAGATGAGTCTATTTCTGGATCCAAACCTGCTCACTACACGTCACATCTCTGAAAAAGCAGAACCCTTTTTTGTCCATATTAGGTATAAAACTCTTTCTAAAGGCATTGAGTGATTATATCAAGCATGTGGGATTTTGGTTAAAATCATTTTGTCAAATCTGGAGGAATGTCGAAGCCATGCCAGGAGTCTTGGACAGCTCCCAACCAAGAGCTGTCTTACCGAGTGCCAGTAAAAACATCACATTCTTGGGTCATCTATAAGACCAGAAAAAATAACTGCTCAGCGTTTACTCAAAGACTCTGCTTTATGAAATATCATCACTTGCAAACATCGTCAAGGCTACATGTCCCCTGAGCTGGGATTCTTCCCTCCTTGCACTATTCATATAGGATGTCCTTTTCTGTTATTTCAGAGACCTTTTCTTGCAAACAGCACAGCCTCCTGGGTGCGTACAAATCTTCTGTAAGATGTAACAAGCAAACGCCTCAAGCAGGGCTATTCTGAGGGGCAGGAGTTCTCAAATTTCTAACGCTGGGAACGCTTCTCATGACCTCCCCCCTCAGCCATTAATTTACACCATGGAGGGGTTTGGGTCATATGCCTCAAAGATGGATCCAAAACACCTGCTCATCACACTGTAGCTCATTTCCCAGAAAAATGTCGTACAGGACATGACTCACATCTTAACCTTCCTTCTCTGCCTGGACTCATCTCCCTCCACTAGTGGAGACTTGGGGGCTGGGGCTGGCCAGCATTACTGATTTAACCTCCCCTCTCCCCAGAAAAGAGTACTTCTAATTTGCAGGCCACGCTCTACAAGGTAGCTGCATCTCCACCGCTCGCTGTCGCACACCACAGATAGGCTATACTCAGGGCCTGAGAGGCATCCGACTGACTCTGCCCCAATGCACTGCCCTCCTCCTGGAAGCAGAGCGATGGAGGGGTTCACATGTTGTTTTCAACTTGTTTTCATGGGGGCCAGAATATTTTCAGCCTTAATTCAGTATCACTAATAAAAATACTAATGAGTTTTGTTGGTAACAGGAGACAGATTCTCAGGGAGAAGAACATAAACTGCTGAGAACTTAGCTATGAGATGGAAGAGCTGAGATTTGCATCAAGGCAGGTTGGCAAGTCGCTCAGGACAGTCTTCTTATAGTTAGTTTAATCTGGAGTTTGCTAAGTAAAACCCTCTGCAAACCTGCTTTACATCCTGCCTCTGGCAGGGGAAACCCAGAGCCTTTGCTCCTACAATGGAGCCTGCCATTTTTCTCTTTCAAACTGGACCATCCTGCCCAGGTGCCTGAGACCCAGGGGAGGCGTTCAGAGTGCTCCCACCCCAGCTCAGCCCAGTGCTGGGGGGGGCTCCCACAGGCTGCACTTGCCTGCTTTCAAGGCACAGCACACCCTCCTGCAGTGTGCACACCAGCCAGCTGCTCAGCCACAAAACTCGGCTCTCTGGGTTTTAAAGACAGCACTGGGGGCAGGGAGGAGGCTGTCAGGAAAGCTCCTGGTTTCGCAGCCCCAGAACTAACTGGGGAATGCTTGTCCCAGCATGCTCACGTCAGAGCACACACGGCAGTGAGGACCAAAGGTAACATTTCTCCTCCTGCGTTTCTCCTCCCAGCCTCTTCCACCTACAAGAAGGTACTGTTGGTGGAAAGGAAACACAGCAGAAATAGACCTACCACACAGCAGGCCCCTTCCTCCCATCTCAGAGAAGCAGTAAGGCAGCAAGAAACAGACTTGCATTAACCTAAAGACTCCTCCTGCCTCAAAGTGGGCCACGACATTTTGTCTGGACTCTTCTAGATAATTCCCCAGAGAGCACCATTAGGGAAATCCGAGGAAGCAGGAAGGGCTGCCGTGGGCCACGTGAAAAAGGACCACCACAAACGCACAGCAGCAGCCGAGCTGGCCGAAGTGGCCTCTGCCAAGTGCATGGATCAGCTCTGGGTAAGCTCTAATGTTCTGGGCTCCCTGCAAGACCAGAGTTGTGGATGCTTCATTTGCAATTAGCTGCAATTAGGACAATGCCCACATAAAAGAGGTAGTTCATAAAAATACTGAATTCTAAATGGCAGTGCACATGCCATTTTTTTGCAATGAATGCACACAGTATGCATGTCTATTCCCTTCTGCAGGGCACTATTTTAATCCTACCTGGCTCTAGAACTGTCTTGAACCGGGAGCAATGAAGGATGCAGACTCAAGCTAAAACGTGAACAGGGAAACATCAGGATGAAGGAGGGAAGACCTCCGGAAGCAGTAAGGGGAGACCCCGGGAAGCAAGGCGGTCCTGTCCAGCTAACAAGAGTTTATAAAGTAACTTTCCAAAAGGTATTCCAGAAACACATGTCACCTGCTCAGTTACATTAGTTAGAGCCACACACAGGCTGGTGGTGTGAGTAGCCTGAATGGTTGACACCAATAGGATAGAGCAGATACTTTCCATGATCATTTTTCTGCAAATGCTACATGAAGCTTGGCATCTCAGGAAAAAGAGAGAAAGAGATAGACTGAAAACCCAGTGAGGCTCCTTCTTGGGAAGTCTCACGTTTTGTTGCTGGCTTGCGGTATGCCTCTGTGGCATCAGGAATCAGAACAACTGAGGCACTGGGAGTTTAAAATTAACACCTGGGTCACAAGCCAGTTTCTGTGACAGCTCTTTATCCTTGCTAGGATCCAAACCAAGACCATGAAAAAATTGTGGGTGTTTTAAATCCGGGTCCAAAAGCTTGTGTTAAAGTCTTCTCATTACATATGCAATATAAACTTTTAATGCCAGAGTACCCAATATGCACAGAGCTGTTAAGGTGCTGGGGGGAGAGCAGGCAGGAGGGAAGGAGGAAAGCTTTTCCAATGAGCTTTTTGCAGTTCCAGAAACATTAACGTGCATTGCACAAGAGTTGCCTCTAAGCTGTAGCAAATTCCCTCCCCTGCCGCAGTAAATGCAAAGATCAACTTGTCCCACGTAAAGACTGGTTTTCACGTTTTAATGTACACACTTCATGTTCAGGCATCTGCTCCTCCACTGACTCCTACAGCTGGCTTGTCTTAGCCTAGGAAAGTGCTGGAGGGACATTTTTTAGGTGAGAGGGAAGAGAGAGGTAGAATAGGATGAAACAAACCCTGTGAGTTTTTACTTTATTTCTGCAAGTACCAAGTTACCAGCCAAGAAATCCTGATACTGTCAGGCTGTATGCTCTGAGAAGGGGGTCCTTTCAGACATGAAACACGTGTCTCTACTGTTGTTACCATGAGCCAGCTGCCATCTACAACAACTGGACTGTAGGACATTGCTTTGAGGATGCAATGGTCTTGGGTTGTCCAGTACTGCCTCACTAGCTAGACTTAGCACCCATCAGCATCAGCAGCAGGTCCCCCATGGCAGTAAAGCTCTGCCTGTGGAGATCCCATAAACAGCAGCTCATACGCCATGGCTCTTCCTGGGGATCAGGCTAGCACAGCTGCATGTCCCAGCTGTAAAGTCCCTGAAGCAACGGCCTGCCCAGGATCTGCACTGAACCAAAGCCTCTCCCAAAGGAAACAGGCCTGGTGTTTCTCTAGTTGTCTCCTCCCTTTCTCTGGGCTGCACAGGCCAGCTTCTGGCCTCCCAATAAGGACAATTTTGCAGATTTTCCACCACTGGGGGCCTCACAGCTCAGGTTCTGTCAGCAGCAGCCTCCTGAGAGCATCCCTGCTTTCCCCACTGTAATGCTTGTGTATCCACCACGCTCTTACTGTGCACAAGCCTATGAGGTTGCACAGACAGAGAAGAGCTGGGATTTAAGTCACACCCTTCATAAAGTATTTTTAACATATTAAATCAAGAAGATTATTAAAATTAAATGATAAACTAAAGCAAATTAAAAAATGGCAGTTCTGTATTTTACAGCATGTTCTCCGGTTCATGATACACTACCTTCACTTCAGTTCCTTTCCTGCCGTGGGCTTCTGCAGGTCCTGCATTACAACTCTCCCGACCGCCCCTGCCCACGTTGCTGGGGAGGCTGCCCCGTAGCATCACGGAAGTGACGGCAGCCGGAGAGGGCAGCAGCCTGCTGGCTGACACTG